TAACCGCCCCAGCACCACGTGACTCTGATTCATGGTGTCCCCAGGCCCAGCCAGCAGGACAGCAGAAGCAGACAATCATGTTCTTTGGTGTCTGAGCAGACAGCCATGCCCCTCCAGGCAGCATTGTACAGACAGACCTTCCCTCACAGAAGAACCTTGACTTTTTTAAACAGTCACAGATCACAGAGAGGTGCATTGTATCCCGTATTGATCTGTTCCAATTTGTAATTATACCTTACCTGAAACAGTTTTCTGAATATAACTCATTTCTTGAAGTTAGGCCATAACATTCTATCCAAGCTTTCAGACCATCAGTCATTAGTGTAGGGTTCAGTCCAGTCTGGTCCAGTCTCCTTTGCCTCCCTTTTTAATTTTTCTGGGCAGCATAAGTGGAGATGAAATTCCACTCCTACAGCCATAGTGAAGCAAGGTGTCTCAGCTGTGTGTCAGCTCCAACATGTTACATTGTCACAGGTCAGTTCTAACACATGAGACAAAGGTTAGGAGCCAGTACAGGTGTCCTCGGGTCCTGGGCCAGGTGCCCTCTGCCCCTGGCCTGTCATTCCACTGTTAAATTGCTATGACACAGTATCACTCCCATAGGGTGGCCAGGAGAGCCACTGGTGGCAAAGGCCATGTCTGAAGCAGTTGGGGTACTTGAAGGAAGGCTTAAGAACTCTGACCTGGAGCCCAGCTCATCTACTGATGGCATGCTGTGAATATCAAACCTTTCAGGGTCCCCTCTTTTATCAATAGTCTTAGTATCCACATAAATTGTGTGTTTAACACAACTGATACCTAACAGTGCAGTTGTAGATCTGATTTCCAGAAGTTCGACACAGATTGAAAGCCTCAGACTCGTTTAGTCCATCAACCACTGCTCCTCTCTCAGTCCAGCACACAAAGTCATAAGAGGATGGTCACACCTAAAGCAGGTCTGTGCTGCAGCCACCCATGGTCCTGGCCTCACAGAAAACAGCCATGCATTCTTTGGTTTCAGGCCCCATGCGGTGGGTCCGCTGCCAAAATTATTCACTCTTTGGTTTCCTTCGAAATAGTTCATCCCTTTATAATTCCCAATAATTATCTTTTTAAAAACCTTCCCATCTGGCTGCATTTCATTTTTCTTCACTTAGGATTTCCCAGTCCCAAGGCTGTCCTCTTTCCAAGCTCAGATACAGCCTGGTCAAATAATTCTTCCAGAGCGTCTGCCCCAGGGAGGTGACGAAGCTGAGGAGGAGAAGCGTGTGGCAGAGCGGTACGGGCGAACAGGTTTGTCCAAAGTGGGCATAGCTTTCATTCTCTTTGCCATAGCGTTTTTCTTGTTGGCAATGGTGAGAAAATACCCACGAATATGTGTCAGGGCACTGTGTACTGTTACGAACAAGGGGGAAGGCACCAGCCAGCCTGCAAGTAAAGACCCCACATCTCTGCGTTCGGGGACCTGTGTGCAGTGAACCTGACTCCTGGGCCATGGCAAGTCACACACTAAAATTGTGTTTAATCACACACAAAAGAGTTTTGTTGGCTCGTGCAATGCAACAAACAGCTCAGAGATAGATGTGGTTTGCTGTGCAGCTCGATAGAGGTGCATAGGTGCTATTGTGAGGAACGGAGTCCTCTTCGCTGCTCAGCTCAAGCTGGATTCACAAGGTCTACAGGTACAGTGGGTAAAACAACGCCTCCCTCAGGATGTCCACATCCTGTCACCCAGAGCTGTGAATGCCTCGGCGCAGCTGGGATGGAGCTGAGAGCTAAGTGGGACAGAGTTGGTCCAGGACCATTCGGGTGGGCTGAGGCGGCTGGGAGTCCTCAGCAGTGGAAAGAGGAGGAGAAGGACTCAGCTCTCCAAGGAAGGAGCAGGGCGTATGCAAGGAACACGGGTAGCTCTAGAAGCCCCCAGGAAAGGGCGCAAACCCTATCACCTAGATCTTTACCACAGAGACCTGTGCCAGGTTCTGGTCTCCAGAAGTGTGAGAAAACAAGTTTCAGTTTTAAGCCGTCAGGTTAGTTGTAAGGTCTTATATGAGAACAGCCAGAGAACACCAGAACAACCTCCACATAGAGCCGTGCACGTGGATTGAAAGGCGGTGGTTGAGGAGCGGCTTGTCCCAGTCACAGGTGTCCAGTGGTGACCACTGACTGGCCACAGTCCCTGCTATCCCCGCCTCAGTCACCCCCACCAGAAACAATCCCACCCCTGTCAGAAAAGAGAAGGAGGCAGAGTTTTGTGTCTCCCTGTTTACATCGATATTATCTTGACCATCAAAACGCTGAGCCCTGCATGGGAGCTCATATTTGTAATACTAGCACTATCGGGAGGCTGAAGCAGAAGGATCACAAATTCAAGCCCAGCCCGGGCGACTTAGTGGCACCGTGTCTCACAAATGTCTTTAAAGGCTGGGGATATAGCTCGGTTAGAGGGCTCAGGTGCAGTTCCAGTAACCAGGCAGGGTAGGGAGGTTGTGGCCACCCAAGCACCCATCGACGGACGAATGGATAAATAGACTTATGCGTCCAAAGAACAATACTCAGTGTAAAAGGGAAGATCACTCTAAAATATTCCAACACATGTGACAACACATGACTGCACCATTGAGTTCTATACTAACGGGAACCAGCGAGTCACAAAAGAGCAGCTGCCCCCCAGCTCCACTACGCACAGGGGGACTGGGGGTGCACGCATGCGCAGAGGCGGCGGACAGTGCAGCGAGGCCGGGGAATGAGAAGCCGCTGCCACTGGGTGCAGAGCTGCAGCTTGGCGAGATCGAAAGGGCACAGCGAGTGGAGAGCGGGGACTATTGGACACCGGGGTGGGGGTGAGGAGCCAGGGGATGGGGCCCTGGCCTTAGCACCACCAGCCTGCACACTTGAAAACCGTTAAAATGATTAATGTTAATTTACAGGTACTTTAACAAAGTCTTAGAATGTAAACAGCGCTTGAGAATTGACATGAAAGACTGGGTGGGTTGGAAATGTAAGTAAATTGGATTGCACGCATTCTTGAGGATTGTAAGCTTGGGATCCTGCTTGGCCCCTGCTCAGCAGCTCCATCTAGCGACAGCGGAGGCGCATGGCACGGTCACTTGGAAAACAGAACACACCCTCTCCAAACTGCTGTGCATTTCAGCACAGCTTTCCACTTCTGGGTCGATTTCCACTCACACTCACACACGCACAGAGGATGAGGAGATGCAACCAGATCCTCAGGCTCTGACACAAGCCGCAGCACACGACCACGGCCCAGTTTCACACACTAGTGAAGGAGATCAGGACATAATTGCCGCCTAAAAGAGCATTAAGTCAGCTATGTGCTGCACGCCTGTGAGGCTGAGGCAGGAGGAGCACAAGTTCAAGCCCAGCCTGGGCAGCTTGGTGCCTTAGCAAGACCCCTGACTCAGACTAACAACTAAGAACAGGCTGGGGCTGGGGCTGGGGCTGGGGCTTGGGGCAGTGGCCCTTGCGTCAACCTCCCTGCTACCAGAAACAAGTTCGTGAATAAAGGAGAGTTAGCCACTCACAAGAGGCAGGGGCTCACCACACCGGGTGGGCCGACGGGGGAAGGACAGAGCATGCCGACCTCGCCTGCGCCCCGCCTCAACCTGCGTGGTGCCTGTCTGGCTAAGGCTCTGCGCGTCTCCTTTCACAGTGGCATCCGGATAGTGAAAGCTCAGGACTCCAGCGCCTCTCTGAGGACATCACGCGCTCTGAGGGATGCTCCTCTGCATGGGCAGGGCTGACCCACTCGCCCAGGACCCTCGGCCAGAAAGGAGAGGCACCACTGTCCAAGGGTCCGAGGTTCCAACTCTGTGGGCTCAGAAGAAAGCAGGGAGCAGGAAGTGGCTGTTTCTCCCACCCTGTAAAACACAGGCGTGTGTAACACCCAGAAATCACATCGAGGTGTGTGAGGTGCAGAAGAGCAGCACCAGTGCCCAGCAACAACCCAGGGAGAGCCAATGCCTCCAGGGGCGACCTCACAGCAGCCTGAGTGGCCAGGACGGTGGTTTTCTCTGAGGCAAGGGAGGTAGAGGAGCTGGGCTTCTTTCATCCATATTCAATAAACCCCAACAAACCCAACAGTGGTGGCCTTTTCATTTTTTGGCTTTTGATATTGTTTATTTGTTTGTGTTGGTGGTGGTGCTGCTGGGGATTGAACTCGGGTCTTGGCACTGACTTACATCCCCAGCTCAGTTTTATTTTTTATTTTGAGACAGGGTCTTGCTAAGTCACTAAATTACCCAGGCTGCATGCAAATCATGATCCTCCTGCCTCAGCCTCCCAGTGTGCAGAAATTAAATGCCTGTGCCACCAGTCCTGGCTCTGTTCCTCTTTTCAGGACTATTTTTGCAGTCAGCTCAAAATTAGATAGAGATCATCTCCTGCTTCTCCCTGTTAACTGCTCCACTAAACTTATAGCAGGTTGTCAAAAAGCCTTTTAATGGCACAAGGAGTATACAAATAGTACACACACACACACACACACAAACACGCAATTACAAACACGCAATTTTTAAAAAATGCATAATGACCATATCACCTAGTATGAGACAAGCAAAGTTCTACAGCAAATATTAAAATTGCTGTTATAGTTGATTCACTGTGTCAATTTCAGAAGTTTAACTAAGAGATTCAGCAGGGAGCCAGGGTCCTTACTTTATAAACATCCTCAGCCTGTGAAAGAGGAGGACACAGAGATTTTTCTGAGTGCTACAAATGCCCTGGGAGCTGGGGGGTGGCCTGCATACAATACAAGGGAGGAGAAGAGGTTTGCTCTCCCCACCTTTTGCTCTGGCTACTGCCTTGAAGTGTTGCCCTTGTACCACATCACCCTGCCTTGGAGCCAGCTGGTTATGGACGGAAACCTCCACAAACAGTGAGCCAAATAAACCTTTCCTTCCTTCATTTCAGGTGTTGGAGATTTTGTCCCAGCAATAAGAGAAAAGTAAGCAAGACAACTGGTAAAAGACAATCATTCAACATTTGACAAAAGATGCAGTGTCTGCTTTTAAGTAACGTTTATTGTGTGCCTACTTAATACTGTGGAACTGTGCTTGGTATTTTATATAGATTATTTAATAGACAATGACACAACAATGCTGCACTATTTGCATCAAATTACACAGCTGTTGAATATGTAACACAAATGCTACAAAAATATATTGCTAAACCAATCAGACTAACATTTTCACATAATCTTATTGGTTTTTGAGAGATACAGTAAATCAACATTAAATAACATGAATCTGAACAATATATTTGAGGAGACTGAGTTAACTAAAAGATATACAGACTTTTCTACACAGAATACATACTCATCTTAGATGTCCATGAGACAGTTACAAAAATTTGATACATTCTAGGCTATAGTAAAAGCTTTTTAAAATATTTTGAAAGCAGATATTTATAGGTCACATTCTCTATTCACAGTGCAATAAAACAAGAACATGAAGCTATTTTTTAACAAAATAATGAAAAAAACTACTGAGCTTGAAAGCACTCTCTAAGAACATTACAAAAACAACACAAGAATGTACATCATTGATCTTTAAGATGTAACCAAGGCTATGTCCAGAAATACATTTGTAGGAAGTATGCTATTATGGCAAATATGAAGACCACATAAACACTCAACTTAAAAATTGAAACAAAGAATAAAAATAAAACAAACAACATATAGTAAAAAAAAACTATTATAATTAAGAGAAATAGTGGCTATAAATAGATCCTAACACTAGCTCTTTGGCAAAACAATACTACCTAATCCTTTGATAAATCAAATAACAGGTAAACCACACAGAGAAGTTGAGAATGGAGACACAACATGCTAAAAAGAAAGTTTCTATTTAATTATAAAATAATGTGTATAATTAGATAATAATTTGCAAAACTATGGAACTAAAAAAATTCTTTAGGGGAAAAAGAACATTACAAATTATCAAAATGAATCCAAGGACTAAAAAGTATTAGCAAACTGATGATAAGTGGGAACTGAGAAAGCTGACCAAGAATTAGCTGAAACTCCCCCTCCAGGGCTCTAAGACCCCTATGGACTCTTCTTAAATGCCGAGAGCTTGAAATTCTCAAGCTATAAAAATGATTGAGAGACACAGAACCGGGTAAGTGTTACTCAAATGTTCCCATGAAGCAGGCTGATCCATTACATCAAAACTTCTCAAAAAATAGCACCCATCTCATATATGAAGACAGAGCAAGAATCTTACATAAAATATTAAGAAAAAGTAATTCAGTGTATGAAAAGATAGCACACCACAATCCCTAGAATGCAAAAATGGTTTGATAGGAAACCTATTAGATTTCACTGATTTTAAATTGCACATTTTTTCTACCTTCTCTGAGGTTAGGAGGTGGCAATTTACAATTAGTTAGCATTTTTTCTTTCTCAGTGTATATAAAATAATACATGTTCTACAGCCAATGATGTCTTAATTTTAATGAAAGACAGTAATGTAAAACTTCATACTAAAAGTTCTTTTAAAAAATCATCTCCATGAATGCTGGAAAGGCATTTGATAATGTTCAGAACCCACTCCTGATTTTTAACCAAAACATTCTCTTAACATGACACAGGCAGCTAGCTGAAAACAACGTCCGCTGGGGTAATTAGATGTGAAACATCATAGGCATCCCCGTTAAAACCAGGAACAGGAAAAGCACGCACACTATCAGCACTATGGTCGTTTGTTGTGGGGCTTTAGACCACTCCACCAAGCCCTGAAACAGAAAAGAAGAAAGTATAAATACTGGGAAGAAAGGCAATACCATCATTACTCAGAGAAAAATAGGATTCTGTGACTGTAAAAATTAAAGCTGTGCCACAAAGTGACTAGATATAAGATAAATACACAAGAGTAAGTAACACTCTATGAGAGGGAATTTCAGAAAAACAGGAGGGAAATGGCATTAGTGTATGAAGTCTTGCAGTTTGAAAGCAGCCTTTATACACAAACACCCCTTCAAAAAGTAGGTGTGTGCATCACATTTTTTGACCCAACCTGTCTTGAATCCCCAACTATGTGTCTCTCTGTGTATTCACCACCTCCCTGTGGATATCCAATGGGCACCTTAAAGTTTACATTTCCCACACAAATCTCTTATCATCTACCCCAACCCTCAAGATAAGGTCCTCATGTATCTTCCCAACATTACACCTTCAGGCTCCAAAGAGACATCCTCGACACCCCCTCTTCCTCCCACCACATCCAAGTCGTCTGAGTCATGGCAAAGACCATTGGCTTTACCTTTAAACACATCCTGAAGCTGATGGCTTCCATACCCTCCATTCCCCAACCCCTCCTCTCCCACCCTCTTGTGCAGTCTCCTGCTTCCTGTATGGACACTCCCACCCCATTTCTTCTCCCCGAATCTTTCACCAGTGTTTTTCCCAAAAGTGAAGTAAATTTGAAAAAAAAATGAAGATGACCAAGATGTAGTAACATGGAAAACTGTCCAGAATATATTGCAAAGATACCAAATGGCAGAATAATAATTTTATTCTCATCTCCTTTTCCCAGTATGTACAGTTTGCTGTGCGACTATTTAGAGGGACTCTGAAAAAAAAATCAAAGCTAATCCATGTGAGTAGAAACCATGGGCTGTGGTTGCCTCTGGAGTGGGGAGTGAGGCTGCCTGGAAAGGCAGAGGAGGAGATTCCTAGGAGAAAGAGGACGCTGGGTGTCTTAAGTGGAGTGCTGGTTCTGTGGTGATGTGTGTGTGTTAATCCTCTCTGACCTCCACGTTTTCCTAGAAATGACTATGCTATAATTGTAGGATGCAAATATAAAATTAAGAAAATATAATAAATATACGTTATCTTAAATACAAATCTTTTACATTCACATTATGGTTTGAATCTAGATGTTTCCCAAGAGGCTTATGCATTCACAGGCTAGGCTTTTGGAAGAAGATTGGGTCATGGGGGGCAGGGCTGGGTGGGACCTGAGGGCCCCGGCCCTCTCCCTGGCTCCTTGCTGTCTGCTTCCTGGCCACCGTAATGTGAGCAGCTTCCCTCCACCAGACCCCTCCACCATGCCACTGACCACCCAAGGATGGAAGCTTCTGAAACGGGAGTCAAATAGACTTCTATTAAGCTACTGGTGTCAATATTTTGTCCCAGTGATGAGAAAAGTGACCAGGACAATTCACTGAACATAACAGCCCCTGAGGCACCAGAACTGTCTCCCCTGTCTCTGGTTACCAGGCTTCGAGGCCATCACTGTGTGGCTCATGGTTCCTTCTCCTGAGAAATGCATTATACAATGTGAGTAGTCTCCCTGGAGGACCACCAGGGAGTTACAGCAACACCAGGAAGCCCAATCCCGTGGATGGATTACAGGGCATCATGGACAGTGGTTCAGAAGAGGACCCTGCAGGGTGCTTTTCACACCCCAGGCCTCCCAGGAGAAGACTGAGGCCAGACTTCACTCAGACCCTTATATTCCTGCATTCATGGAACCTTTACTATAGTACATTATATGAACATTAAATTATTGTTAGTTATTGTTAATATTTCACCCCGCCTAATCTACAAATTAAATTTTACCATAGGCATCTATGTATAGGGAGAAGCACAGTGTAGATGGGGTTCAGTATTATGTATGGCCTCAGTCACTCCTTGGGGGCCTTAAACCACCCTCCAGACAGCGTGGCCATACCTGGGAGTCCTCTGACTCCTCATCGTCCTCCACCGAGCTCCACTCCTGGGACAGCCCAGACTCTTGAGAAGACAGGTCTGCATGAGGTTGGGCAGAGGAGAATGGAGCCATGAGTGAGTGACCAGGCCACCAGGGCTCTTTCTGGTCTCCCCCGCCACCCTGTCCTTCTGATAACACACAGACACACACACACACACACACACAGAGACACACCATGGCCTGTGTGCCTCAGGTGGGGCTGAAACCCTGGATTCTGGTCCCACCACTACCGGGAAGACCACACTGGGTCAGTCCCTCTGAGCAGTCCACCAGCAATTGTCCTTTTCCTCGGGGTACCCCTCAAGTCCCCAAACAATAATGTGAGACACCTCTAGGTAAGTGGGTGTCCCTTGAGACCAAACACTTCAGTGAAATAAACTGGACACACGTGCTTAAAGAATGCATTGTTTCACAGCTGTGAGAAACTGGAGGTGTAAGTAAGAACCAAAGTGTGCAATAGATATTGTGAAACAGGAAGAAAATGTTCAAATGTGAAGGGGAACAAGGGAAGGAGGAAGGGAAAAGGAAAAAACCAGACAAGAAGTTAAAAATGGAAACAAAGCTTTTGCAAATGAGGGGGAAAGAAGAGTTGGAGGGAGGGAGGGGAGTGGGGAAAAGGAATCAGGGCCCATGGTGTACAGGTGCGGATTCCCTGTGACACTGTGATCACGATGTATACCTAATGTGTACCAATACACGCGATTAATTTTGAAAAACCACCTCAGATAAAAACCAGAGTCAGAGAATCTTTCTGAAATACAAAGGTCATGTCATTCTCTCTTCTAACCCTCCAGTGGGTTCAGGTGGCCACCGAGTCCTTGCGATGTCTATGAAAGGCACCGAGCCTGGCCTCCAAGGGCCCCCAGGTGGCTGCAGCTGCCTCGTGTGTCACCCTGGCTGCCCGAGGTGCTGACCCCAGCTCTCTTCCTGCTTTCCTCCCCATCCCTTATCCCCATGTCCATGTGGTCACCTTGCTCCACAGCCCAGAAGCTCACACGACTGCTGGACCACGCGCCCCCAGGCTTCCTGCCCTGCTCCTCTGCCCAGTTCTGCTCCTCTGAGAGCCCTTTCCCCGCCTGCCGGTACACTGAGAGACCCTTGGCATCCAGCAGCCCTGGTGTGTCCCTTTCCCTCTGCGTCTGCCTCTCGGATCCCCTTCCTCATGGAGTCTGAAGCTGACCGTGCAGCAGAGGCCCAGAGAGCGCTTGTGCAACCGACTGTGGTGGTGCACATTTGTCATCCCAGCTCTCTGGGAGGCTGAGATAGGAAGATTGCAGGTTTGAGCCAGCCTGGGAAACATTGGTGTTTGATGTGACCTCATCTCGAATTTTTAAAAATAAAAATAATTATAAACAGGCTGTGGGTGTAGCTTGGTATGAAGGCCAATCTCCAATGTTGCATTCAGGGTGACTGTGAACTCAAATATCACCTCTCCTGCTGTTTCTGTGAGCCCACAGGACCCCGCACTGGTCTGGGCAGTCGTGCTGCAGACTCACAGCCAGTCATGGGCATGTGGAGCCCACACCCACCAGCACAGCCTACAAGAAGCCCGCCTACCAGCTCTCTGAGGCTGTGGGAGTGAGCACACACAACAGGACAAAGGTCCCCTGGAGCCGGGTCACTCCGCGGACCCCAGGCTGGGAGCCACTGACCATCACTGTGTTAACCAATAAGTTTTGGATGAGTTGGTGTTTGTTGTTGTTTTGCTTTGTTCTGTTCTGTTTTTGAGGCAGGGTCAAACTATGTGGTGCAGGCTGGCCTGAACTCAAGGTGATCCTCCTGCCTCAGCCTCCAGAATGCTGGGATCCCAGGTGTGGGCCACCTCACCCCACTGGGGTGGCCATCACACAGCAGACGCTGGCCACTCAGGACTTCACAATCTGGCAGATTGACCTGTGAGGGAAGGAATTTTCAGGCTTTCTCTAGGCTCTGCCAAGACTGCCTGGGACCCTTGGCCCTCACCTTTCTCTTCACCATCATAGCCAGAGGCCCCAACCTCCACAGCCTCCCAGTCCTTGGTGAGTGTGAGATGCGACGGCTTCTCCCAGGCCCGGCTCTCCCAAGGCAGCAGTGTCTTCACCCTCTCGGGCTCCAGCAGGCCCCGAGCCTGCTCGGGCCGGAGGCTCTGCATCTCCCCGGGAGGTGTGGGGTGTGAATTCAGGCTTCTCCTCCTCCTTTTCCAGTCCAGTCCTGTGGGCTCCCAGACACAGAAGTGAGAACCTGAGGACTGACCAACAGTCATTCAACAAACAGTGGCAGGGCATAGGGGCGGAGGAATACCAGATGCTGTATCAAGCGCCAAGAACAGTGCAATGATCAAAATGGAGATCCCAGCCCTCAAAGGATTTGCTTTCCAGGGCACGAGGGCGGGGAGGGAGCCAGGCACTCAGCGTTTCCAGTGGGATAAGACAGTGCAGGGGGAAGGGGCAGAGTGCCTGCTGGAAAAAGAAATGGGCACAATCCTCAGACAAGCTCGGGCAGGGACTTTCCGAACAGAACCCCAACAGCACAAGAATCAACATCCAGAATCAACACGCCACGCAGCATCAAGTTCCAATGAAAAGCTTCTGCGCAGCAAAGGAAACAACCAGCAAATCTCCCCACGGAGGACCAATATCTATAATACACAAAGGACTCAAAAATTAGGTCCCTGGAACAAAGGACCTAATAAAAACAGGCTACTGAAATGAACAGACACTTCTCAGAAGAAATTCAAATGGACAATACACAAAAATGGTCAACATTGCTGGCATCAGACAAGCACAAGTGAAACCAACAACCAAGGGCCTGCCTCATCCTGAAGGAGCGGCCGTCATCAAGAAATCAGATAACAAGTTCTGATGGAGCCACAGGGAAAGAGAGACACTACCGCACTGTGGGCAGGAGTGGGAATTAGCACCACTACTGCAGAAGTCAGCATGGATATCCCTCCAAGAGCCAAAGACTGAAATTCCGTTTGACCCAGCTGCGGCTCCTCTGAACATCTGCCTGTAAGACCTCAGCTATCGCAGCATGGTGACCCACGCACACTCATGTTTATGGCAGCACAGCTCAGAACAGCGGCATCTCAGAAGCCGCCTCTGGAAGCTGCAGCCAGAACTGCTCCCTGATTTCTCCCAGACCTAAGAAACGACTCTGGCCAGCACTCAGGGGGCACGGGCTGGGGGCCCCCTTGGCCCACCTGGAGAGTCCTGGACTCTTCTGCCTCCAAGGGACCTGACTCATATGCACCTCACCACAACCCGGGCCCCACTCCTGCATCACAGGAAGGACAGGCCCAGAATCCACGGAATGGGAATCTTCAGGGAGCACCACCCTGCCCAGTGGGAACTAGGAAGGCAGGAAAGTGACAGGGTAGTAAGACGCCCAATGGCTGCAGTTGGCTATGCGGTGACCCAGGGGCCACGTCTCCTCTCTGAGTGCCATGAGCTGGCTGTAAACCTGGCACTCACAGAGCCACCTCGGGCAGCTGCATCATCATTTCCAAAGGCACAAAGGAACCATAGGCCCAGAGAAAGCTCTCCAGTCCAGGAAGCCTGAGCAGGGCAATGGGCGGGCAGGCGAGTGAGAGCGGGGCACCTCAGGGACGCTTCCCGGGGCAGAGAAAGACCCGGTGCCTGCCGGGGGTGATGCCTGTCCAACCCAACAAAACCCAGGCCCAGCTGGCCATCTCTGACTTCTTAGAAGCCCGACATCTCCTGCTTGACCAGCAGCCAAGCCCAAGCCCACTCCCAACATCGCGAGCCTCCACGGAGAGATTCTGTCCCCAAAGTGGCACTGCCCTGTGGACTCCTCTCAGGGGACTTCTGTGCTCCCTGTGGCACCAGCAACGCCATCCAGCTCTAAAATCTTTGCTTTTTAAAATTTTTTTTCTTATTCTTTTGGATGAAGCCTCACTTAGCTGTCCAAGCTTGCCTGCAACTCAAGATCCTCCTGCCTCAGCCTCCTGCGTAGCTGAGATCCCAGGCTGTTTTTTTTTTTTTTTTTTTTTTTTTTTTTTTTTTTAAGGCTGTTTTTAACACAGATACTAAGCTTGGTCTGCACTTCATGTGGATTTGACTCCTCCTCCTAAAACAAAAGAAAGACAATGCCGACAGCGAGAGCCACCTTTCCTGGGTGCTTGATTCACTGGCCTTTCAGGCCCTAGCCATCTGTTAGGACAGCTAACAGGTAAGGTTGCTCCCGTCAGCTCTGTGCTCTGGGAGCTGCGGCCGGAGGATCACTAAGTTCCAGCCCAACCTGGGCAAATGAGTGAGACCCTATCTCAAAATGAAAAATGCAAAGCCTGGTAGGCAGCGGTGCGTGCGAAGGCGCTGGGCTCCATCCCCAGCACCACCCAACCTGCGATCGGTGATTGTTTTAAATACGCTGAAAAGGAGGAAGACGGGCCAGGCCGGGGCCGGCCAGCTCGAGGAGCCCGCGCAGGGTTAGGTCCTGAGACCGAGCCCGAGCCCGAGCCGGGAGTGCGCGCCTGTCGGAGGCAGAGGCGAGCACCGGGGTGCGCAGCGCGCCCCGGGGTGCGGGCCGGGGAGGGCGGCACCGGTCACCCGCGCCGTGACGCAGCGTCTGCTCCAGGGCCCCGGCCCGGCGAGGCCACCGCTCCCTACCCCGGGACGTGGCCAGGACCCTCCCCGCCTGGCCCGGGCAAGTCCGCCCCAGGGCACCCATACCGGACCCAGGGCGCGCGGCGCGGGAAGCTGAGCTGCGCCCCTTGCGGACCCCGCGGTCTCCCGCCAGCGCCTAGGGACCCTGCTCCCTCCCGACCCCGTCCCTGGGGCCGCCGGGTCGGGTCGGGACCCCGCGCCCTCCAGGCCCGCGCCGACTCACCCTCCCCTCGCGCCGGTCCGCGCTGCAGAGCGGGCACTGCGCGGACTGCGGCTGCGCAGACGCGGGGTGGGGGAGGGGCGCCCCCCTGCGCCCGGGGACCCCCGCGGGGAGGGGAGAAGTCCGGGGGAAGGGTCGCGCATGTGAGGTCGGTGCCGCCTCCGTGCGACCCATTGCGTGGGGCGGGACGGGAATTTCCACGCGGGTCGCGGCGAGGGGGACGCGCGGCTCTGAAGACCCCAAAGTCCTCAGCGCCTGCACCGTCCCCGGCCCTCTCAGGCCGCAGGAAGCGTTTAACAGTGTCCACGCGGCCACGGGTGAGAAAGTCCCGGTCATGCACGTGCGCGGCGGCTTCTCCTCCTGCGAAGCCCTGCGGCTGGGGCACCCTTCACTCCCCGCCTGCTCATCTGTCCCCGGCTTTGTGGGTCTGTTTACAGAGCGCTGGAAGTTTTCAGGTTTGATAAAAAAAAATCAAGATTTTTGTTTTGTTTTTTGCCTTTGAAGTCCTATTTAAGATGCTTTTTCCTCCTCCTCTCATAAGCACGCTTTCCTGCATAATCTCCTGCGTGGTTTTACTGCATATGTTCCTAAAAGCTAGTTGAAATTGATGGAATTTTTTTGTGCGGCGTGAGGTAAGGATATAATTTCCTTCTGCAAATGAATAAACCATTGGATGACCTCAGTACTCAAGAACACAATCAAAGCAACCGTCATTTATCCAACAGGTGTTGTAAACAAAGACGTCTGTTTGCATGTTATCCCATTTAATTTGACAGCCCTGTGGGTATGTGTTACATGCCCATCTTACTGAGAAAAGAACTGGAACACAGAGAAATTAGATCACTGGCCCAGAGGACACAGAAAGAACATGGAGGATTGAGATGGAGTTTCCTTAAGAGTTTCCATGTATGTCCCGAAAGTGCTGGGAGAAATATCCCTTGTGTGGAGGATCAGGACACGGGTTTCCAGGCCTTCTGTGTCAAGAAGAGAAGACAAATTGTCCAAGAAGACACTTCCCCCTTGCCTCCCTGCCTCCTGTGACAGCCAGGAGGCAAGGAGAGGGGAGCCCAGGTGTAAGAGCTCCTTCTCTGCACAGACCACTGGGTGAGTTTGGGAAGTGGATTCACTGGTCTCTCTTTCTCTGTCTTCAAAAGGGACCCTCAGAAGGTCCTCTGGGATCCAGTGAGCTGGCACCTGTGCCCCATGCATGCTGAGTGCTTGGGAAGTGTCGCGGGTTATCACTGTGCTGAGATAGGGGGTCCATGGCGTGAAGAGCAAGTCCAGTCTTCATGCTGAAAATCCTTAGACTAAGGTCTGTGGGAGCCCTGCTGGGTTAGTCTCCTTCTAGCTGCAATCGTTCACACGATCCCCCTGAGCTGTAGCTGTGTCCCCCTCTGCATCAGTGGATGCCACCTGCATGACTGGCTCCAATTCATGTGACATCTGTGTTGTCATTTACTCAGCATTTTTATTTTAAATAACCCATTTTCTAAAACTTTTCAGGGCCGGACATGGTGGTACAAACCTGCAATCCTGCCACTCAGGAGGCTGAGGCAGGAGGAGGCCAGCCTGGGCTACAAAGTGAGTTCAAGACCAGCTTCAATTGCATAGTGAGACCCTGTCTCGAAAAGACAAAAATAAATCAATTAAATAAAACCTTTTCAAAAGTGCCTTTATTTTGTGGTTGTTATTGTTCTAGAGATTGAACCCTGGGCCTTCTCAATGAGCTACATCCCCAGCCCTGTTTTTTGTTTGTTTGTTTATTTGTTTGTTTGTGTTGAGATGGAGTCTCACACAAAAGTCAAAGTTGTCTTTGACTTTTGAGATGGAGTCTCACACAAACAAAAGTCCCTGAGTTGCCCAGGCTGGACTCAAGCTGTGACCCTCCTGCCTTGGCCTTCTGGAGGGCTGGATGACAGGTGTGCACCACCATGCCTGGCTCAGGAGGGCTTTCTAGAGGGAACTTCATGTCATCCGCACACGTGAAAAATAGATTTCTGCACAGTAGCCTGAAATTGAAAAGAATCCAGAGGCAGCAATCCTCCTGAATGCATGGCCTGGTGCAGAAGCCTGATGAGTCTCTACCCTCCTCTCCTCTGCTGCACAGCACAGCCTCACCCTGGCTGTGGCTTCACGATGCCATCAGGTGTGGGACAAGACTGTGAAGTCCACAAGACTTTTCCTTCTGCTGACTGTGCTTTGTATGTTTCAATGTAATATCTCATAGCTGTGAGTGCCTATCATGAGTCCTGTGGGTCTTCCCAGTGAATCTTCAAAACTTGGGCTGGCCTTGGGGACCTTCATGCAGCCCTCAAGCCCTGGACCAGACTCTACATGATTTTGGACCCATGACCGGCTGGGAAAAGACAGAGCAAAGCAGGGCTGGGAATTCACTTGCTTCATCATTCACCAAGTATTTGTTAAACAGCCTCTAGATGGCAGATGCTGCTCTGGGTGATCAAGACAAGGGCTGTCTATGGCCCAGACCTTACATTCTAATGACAAAACAGACAACAGGCAAGTGAAGCAAAAAGTGTAAATAAAACATAATTTATATTCAGTGCAGGAAGTGTATGAAACAAGTCAATATGAAAACAACTGTGAGATCACTTTGGGAAAGGGTCAGAGACAGTCTTCATGAAGAGGTGACATTCTGAGCTGAGATCTGAAAAGTGGGGTGGAGACTGTGATGCTAGAGCCATGATGGAGAGAACCTCAGGTCAAAGGAACCGACGAGGAGGTTAAAGCTGCCAGCGTGGCCAGACAAGGGAGTGGTGATGGGCTGTGGGCTCTGGAGACCCCGAGTGCCTTGGAAACAAGGGCAGGCTGAGACTTGATTGTAGATGTGTGGGGAAGAAATGGCACCTTACTAAGGAGTATGCTACAACTTCTGACTGACATAGGAAGAGGTCACAACAACACGGTGTGGAGAAAGGGAAAGGGGAAGGGAAGGCTCACTTAGGGGACTCCACAGTAGGCCAGGACGGGGGCATGGTGGCCCAAGGATGTGGAAAGATTTGGGGTGCACACTCAGGTGGCACCGAGAGGCTCCCCTGGTGCATGAGAGGAATGAAGGGAGGGGGAACATGGGCAGGAGCAGCTGAGTGTCCAGTAGTGCAATGAGGAGGAGCAAGTCTTTGCAGGGATATTCAGAGTTCCCTTTGGGGCATGTTAAGCATTGGATGCCTGTACACCAGGAAGGCCTGAGTGCTGCAAATGTCGCCACCCGGAGATTCTAGGGGTGCGGCTGGAAAAGGGGTCCAGTTCATCAGGGCGCATGCATTTTGCGTGGGCAGTGGCTAAAATATGCCCTGCTACTTTCTGGGTGAATTAGTGCTGCGGGAGCTTTCCGTGGTGCTGAAAATCCAAGGCCTGAACCGTCCAGGGAGCGGGAAAGGGGCATCAGGTGTTGAGTCGCAGAATCCGTTGCAGGACAGAGCTCTCCACAGCGCTAGATCATTGCATTCTGAGTGTTCGCGGTGCTGAGCAGTTGCAGCACTGGCCGCCTGCAGTGCTGAGCGGTGGATATGCAATGCACAAGGAACCAGACAGGGAAGGGGAGAGGGAGGGCCTGGTGCAGACCCACCCACCTGCAGCGTAGGCCCCACTCCACTTGCTGCTGTCCATGGCGCTGAAAATTACCGCCGAGCCGCCGGCTAGTCTCACCCGCGGCCCTGCGAGCTATCCGCAGTGCTGAACCTTGTATATCGCCGCTGTCCGTGGTACCAACGCCACTTCTGCCTGAGCCACAAAGGATGCTGTCACGGTGTGAGCTGTCCGTGGTGCTGAATTGTCGCGGCATGGTTATCCACGGTGCTGAATCTCCAATCAGTCTAAACGAGAGGACTCCTCCTCCCCCTGCACTTCCAAAGCATCCATTGCCTGGGAAAAGCCCAGCTGTTGCCTAGAAACAAAACTCCGGGGAATGCGGAGAACGTGGGATGAAAGCAAATAAGGATAAACGGCACAGTCATTTCTAAGTGGCAGCTTTGGCTCTTAGGATTGGGCCTGGCTACAGCCTGACTGAAAAGATCCGAATGAATGTACAAAAGGGAAGATGAGAGGAAAGACATGTCTAGCATTCAGGTTGGGGGAAATCGCCATCCCGACTTGCACAGGGTGGAGAGTGATATAAGCACGTGTGAGTTGTTTGCAAAACCCAGCCTTTATGCTGCAACACAGGGGTCACAAAGGAGGTATTATTGCACATGTATGGAAATGTGGTGTGACTGGATATCATTACAAACATCTGAAATCCTGAGCCATAGCTGTTCTCACCCATAGGCTGCATTTTTTGAAATGAAGATGTTGTGACTTTAAATTGTTCAAAAACCCCTACTTTAAAATATAGCCAAAAGCATGCATTGTGAACTATGTTTGTTGTTTCAGTATCACTTTAGATTGTGAGTGGGCATGCCTGCCATTCTTGGCAAGGATTAGCCTTGAATTATGTAGGCGTTGAGTTGTGCAGCCTCTTCAAGAATGAGTCTCTGGCTTAAAATTCTCCCACCTCTTCAAAATCTTTGAGTGAATGAACAAGTTCATTCTTTTTTTAATTTTAAAGGTACTAAAATAAACAGAACAAGACAGAAAAAAGCCAATTTAGACAGTTTAGTGAAATTGGTACAGAACATCACAGCAGGTTACTGGGGTAACAGTAGTAGGTACCACAGTATATCTCATTATCTTCACAATAGTTGTTCTTTCAATCAGGTATAGAAAAATAAAATGAAATGCAGCACATTATAGAACTAATCAAAACAGAATATTGAATGGAATAATACCATTAGTCAGAATAAAGCAAAACAGTGGTACAAATATTTGTCTTCAAAGAGATGGTAAAAGGAAATCCCCCTGTTTGCTATATTGCATATGGTCAGTCTCTCAAAAGATGCTCAGAACTCTGGCTCCCATTTGCTAAGGGGGGTGTAGGTGGGATGTTTGATTCTCAGCTCATGCACCAGCAGGCTCACTACCACTTAGCAGGGAGGCGAGCTGGTTGCTTGGTTTCCCAGTACCCTAAGTTACAACATGGCACAGATCTCAGGAGTCACTGGTGGTTCTCCCCCTGGGGGGCCACAACCTGCCACACCACAGCCGCTTACCAGGGAAGCGAGCTCCAAGTTTACAACGTTTG